CGGGAGCCGGGCTCCCCCGGGCTGCCGGCTCCTCAGGAGCGCGAGGCCGGCCGGGGTCACCCGCCTGGTCTCTCCTTGGCCCCTCGGAGCCGCGCGCTCTCCCGGTGGCCTGCCTGGCGCCTCGTGCGTGGCTGGCGGTCTCGGGACTCGCTGACTTTGGGGGAAAGTGGAGCAAAGTGTGCCTGGACGGGGGGCACGGAGCGGGAGGGACTGTTGCCTGCGGCGGGCCCCGGCGGCCGGCGGGCCCTAGTCCGGAGTCGGCGCTTTGGGGCAGGTGGGGCGGGGGTTGCTTCCGCCGTGGGGACGGGGCGCACGGCCGGCGGGAGCGACACCCGCCGTCCCGCGGTGGGAGCCCCCCCGACTCTCCTCGCTGCTCCCCAGGCCTCGGTCCCCCAGGTCCCGAGGCAGCCGCCAGCAGGACCGGCTGGATCTGGGTGGTTTCGCTTAAGGTGTGCGGGATGACATCTGAAAAGCGTGCTTTTGTGATGGGGCACCGGGAATCCTCACGCTCCCGCTTTTATTTCTGGCAACGTTGAGAGACTATGTGGAGCCTGTTCATTGCTTACATTTTTCGGATTGCGAAATAGAAGTAGGCACCCATGTACGGTCCTGATCCATTCCCACTGCTTTATTGCTGACGGACATAGATGGTTTGATAAAACGATCAGCAGCGACCCAGTCATTCGTTTGAATGTTAAGGGAAAAAAAAATCTAAATTTACAATTAAGTAATTGGCCCTTTGTGGTCGATTGTCTCTTTTCCGGACTGTTTTAAAAAACAGTTTTACTAACAGGTAATGGTGACAATATGTTTCTTTAACCCACAAGTGTAAATTCGAAAATGCACTGGAATGGAGAAATTATGTAAGCTAGATTAAGGAACTAATCCTTTATAAATGGGAAAGAAATGATACTTTACGTAATTGGGGTGTATAAAGTTGTACGGATTTACATCATGATTGTGGATAGCATGAATTGAGGCTTTTATTCCTGAGGTACCTCTTTTATTGTTCATTCTATGGGTTGCTGACTGAGGAATATGCCAAATGTTGAGCAAAGTGTTCTCAGAACCGTGGAACATACTGAGTATTTTAGGGAACTTTTAAAAATGAAGGTTTTGTAGCCAGTAATGTATTGCCATATAAGATTGACACAAGATTAAGTCTGTTAACAAAACTGGTATTTTATTCTGAGAAAGTTCCTTTCATCTTCCATTCATTTGGTGAAATGACTAGTGATTGTTTTCCATTACCTTTTTTGTTGTTGTTGTTTAAAGACTTATATTTGTTAAGTGATGGTCTTTTAGTGTTTGCAAATGTGGACACTGATAAAAATTATAGGTCACCTGTGCCTAAGAAGTCAGCCTGTGAGCTGCCTGTTTATGTTCTCTAAGTATGTAGCTTGTTAAATTTTGCCCTCATCTGGAGATTTCATTCACTTGTGCTGTGCAGTTAAACTTCATCCATTTAGAAATTCTAATTAAAAATGCATGACTGCGTTCATACAGAGTAAAATGCTCTTGTCTTTTTCTTGTGAAATTTCAAGTTTCCTTACTGAAGTCTATTCCTTTTTGTTTGTTGTGTGTGTCCTGGGTCTTGAGCTAAGGGCTGCAGTGCTGGTGCTGAGCTTTTTTGCTCAAGGCTAAATTAGTCTATCACTTGAACCTCACAACTCTACCTCTGGCTTTTTTGGTAGTTAATTGGAGAAGTCCATAAGGGTAGTCCATAAGACTACCCTGCCTGTGCTAGCTTTGTACTATAATCCTCAGATCTCAGCCTCCTGAGTAGGATTATAGGCATGAGCCAATGAGCCTAGCTGATTCTAACTATCTTTTTAAAATCAGGGTTTACTAATTCCTGGACCCAGTACTTACTATTCCTTATGCTTTTCATGTATTATGGCTAATACATCTATAGTATTGTTTTATGTTTGAGTCTGTTTTACTCATCTCCATGGAATTATACTTAATTTTTTCTAGCTTTATTTGTACTAAAACTTAAAAAATATCCTTAACTATAGAAGGTGAATTATATTTGCTCTTAGCAACACAAACTTGAAGTGAGAAGTCTTAGGAACCACTTTTGCTCAGAAATTTGTTTATAGTTGTGTTTAGATTTGAAAATTGCTGTGAAGTTAGATCCATGTTTGTTATAGAATATACAACATTTCAAAAGTTCACTGTTGTTTTTTTTTTTTTTTTGTTTTTTGTTTTTGGTGCTGGTCCTAGGGCTTGAACTCAGGGCCTGTTGCTGTCCCTGGGCATTTGTGCTCAAGGCTAGCACTTTACCACTTGAATCACAGCTCCACTTCTGCCTTTTTGGTGATTAATTGGAGATAAGAGTCTCAGGGACTTTACTGCTTGGGCTGGCTTTGAACCTGGATCCTAAGATCTCAGCATCCCGAGCAGTTAGGATTACAGGTGGCGAGTCTCTGGTGCCCAGTACAATTTTATTTTATTGTTGGGCAAAACTAACATGCCTGGAAGATTCCTCAATTATACCTGAGCCTTGGAGTGTCCCCTGGTACTATTGTTTATATTGCTGAGATGTAGGTAGCTGAATTTGAGGGGAAAAAAGTGGTAGATAAGAGCTTGAACTTCTGAGTCATACAACAAAACCTCTGTGTTTGTTTCCTTATGTGCAAAATAAGGCTAATAATGTTTGTCACACAGGATTTTGTAAAGATTGAAACCATACAATGGACTCAGCACATAGGAAACATCTAGTGAATTGCATAGCTGTCATCATCCTTATTATCAGTAATATGCCTCCATGATTTTTCTTTGCTAGATTTCTAGTAATGTTCAGTGGAAAGCAGCTGAGGTGGTAGTTTTTGAATTGCCTGGAAATGGCTGCTTTAATCCTCTATGCTCTTTCGCTGAGAGAATTGTCCCTTGGGTTTATTAGGAATTTTTAGAGGTGCATTAACTTACCCCACTAGAATTCATTTAGTATATTAGCAAGACCATCTTCTGGTACCCTTGAGACCACCGAAATCAAAGCACATCTTGCATTGCCTGAAAGGCCTCTGGGGAATGAGGCCAGTTATGCGGAGTAGACTGAACCAAGGCTGGCTGCATTTGCTTGTTTGATTTGTTTTTTAAATGCAGTGAACATTTATTGAGAATTTATTATATGTGGGCACTATGGTTAAGTACTTGTTTTTTCTTTGAGATAGGGTCTTGCTGTGTAACCCAGTCTGGCCTGGAGCTTGCTTTATAGTTCAAGCTGGCCTTGAACTTGTGATCCTCCTGCCTCAGCCTCCAGAATGCTGAGATTCCAGATGTGCATCACCACATCAGATTATACTTAACATACTTCCAACAACACCATTTCTTTCTATTTTTCTCAGCAGTTTTGGTAGATAAAGATCTCAATTTCCTGAGTTAAAGCAATACAAATGAGGAATGGGCCCTAGCTGAGAACATCATTGGAAAAAACAGGATTTGTTTTATGATAATAATAAATAGTATTAACAACTGTAACTTTGACTGTTGATAATTTGTGAAAGAGGAGACAGGACCTGTAGTTTTCTTATTACATAGATGAAAGTTGGAACTCTGGATAGGAGACCTGCTGAGAGTCATATTGGAGCTGGAGCTGGGATTCAGGTCTTTTAACCCTAAAAAACGTTGTAGTTTGTCAATTTTCTTATTTTTTAAAATATTGTTTGTTATTTAGTTTGAGGAGTCTGGAGATTGTTACTCAGAGCAATTTTCTCTTTAAACGGGTAACCATAATTTTCTTTTCACAGACAAAAGCAAACTGGCAAGGAAAGAATATAGTTTGAAGCTTTTTCCTTGAGGAGGACTATATAATTCTATTATGTTAAATGAGTGGTTTAATCTGGGTGCCGGTGGCTCATGCCTGGTCTGTAATCCTAGCTATTCAGGAGGCTGAGATCTGAGGATCGGGGTTCAAAACCAGCTTGGGCAGGAAAGTCAGTGAGATGCTTATCTCGAATAAACCACCAGAAAACTGGAAGTGATGCTGTGGCTGAAGTGGTAGAGTTCTGGCCTTGAGTTGAAGAGCTCAGGGATGGCACCCAGGTCCAAGTTCAAGCTCCATTACTGACAAAAAAAAAAAAAGAAAGAAAGAAAGGAAGGAAGAAAGAAAGAAAGAAAGAAAGAAAGAAAGAAAGAAAGAAAGAAAGAAAGAAAGAAAAGAGTTGTTTAGTTTTAAGAATGATTTCATAAACTATAGTCGTATCAAAAGTGTTTATAATGTTGAATAATAGAGTTTATGTATTACATTCTTAAACAATATTTTCTTTCTCTCCCTCCCCCCCCCAACAGGAAAAAAGCCCTGAGACATCAGCATTTGAAAACTGCGAAGACAATCCTGAGTAGCAATTGTGAATGGGATTGCTGGTAGACACCTTCTGCCAAGCATCTGAAATGAACATCTCTCACCAAGCCGGAAGTACTGGATTCAGTTGACTTCAGGCTAAAAAGAAGAGTCTTGGTTGTCATCACAAACATATGAACCAGTGTGATGGTGAAATGAGATGAGGCTCCGAAATGGAACTGTAGCCACTGCTTTAGTATTTATCACATCGTTCCTTACTTTATCCTGGTATACTACATGGCAAAATGGGAAGGGTAAGGAAGATGGCTCTAGAAATGTGTATGAAGTACAACAGGCTTTTGGTGTGTGTGTGTGTGTGTGTGTGTGTGTAAGTGTGCAAGTGTGCACGTGCATGCACATGCTTAGCTTGGGCTTAAACTCAGGGCCTGGGTGCTGTCCCTAAGCTTTTTTTGCTCAAGGCTAGAGCTCTATCACTTGAGATACAGCTCTACATCTACCTGGCTTTTTGGAGATGATAGACTCATGGACTTCCCTGCCTGAGTTGGCTTTGAATTGTGATCTTCAGCTCTTAGTCTCCTGAGGAGATTACAGGCATGAGCCACTGAAAGTTGGCTGGCTTTTGACTTACTCATTGATGCAGAAATGCTTATGTTCAATATAATAGCAAGCTGCTTGTTGCTTGCTTTCTGCTGGCAGTTTACTTGAAACAAAAACAGTATTCTTGGACAGAGGGAATAGAATATCTATGGGATTTATTTTTTAATTTTTTATAATTGCACTTAGAAAAACATACTGATCAGTGGTATATAGTACACTGCACAGCTAAGTGGAATGACAGTGACTTTTATTTTGGCCTAAAGAAAACTAATCACAGTAAATGCTTAATAATCTGTCTTGGTCTGGGCATTGTATAAAGCACTTAAAAAAGACACATTCAGGGTCTTCATGAAGTTTACATGTCAATTACACTAGTGATTTGACATTATATAGTTAATCATTTAAACTGAATGCCTTGAAAAATTGCTCTTTAAAAGTACTTAAGAAGTGGGTGAGGAAAATTCTCATTGGAATATTAAAAAAAAATCAAAAGAGTTTTAATTTCTTCTACTAAGTTTTAAAGGTAGGTTGTCTGCCATTTGGATTTCATGATGCATTTCTTCTCCCTAACCCACCATAGGCCCCTCCCTTTTTTTTTTTTGGAAGAGAAAGTATTTAGAATAAATTCCTTTTACCTGTCTCCTTATATTTAAGGAATGTTGACAGCAAGAAAGGTGGAGAGGCTGAGCATTTGAAGATGCTATTGTTCTTCTCATTCATGTCACAACTGAAAGGACTGTTGGATGACCAGTATATTTCTGATGTATATCTATATAAACATGTTACATATATCCTCTGTCCCATATATATTTTATGTGTTTTATATATATAAAATAAGCAGATACAAACAAAAATGAACTGCTTTTGGCAAGTATGGTATTCTTTTCTCTTTTTTTTTTTGTCTGAGTTGGGCTCTAATTTTGGGCTACTTAGGGAAAAATAAGCCAAAAATTTGCTAAAGACAAATGTATATTTGTACACAAAATATTGAGTGATCTCAGGGTTTTTTGTTTTGTTTTGGGCAGTACTGGAGCTTTGATTCAGGCAGGACCTTGTGCTTGCTAAGTGAGTGCTCTACTACTTGAGCTACAACTCTCGACAGATTTCATTTTTTGTTCCAAATGAAAATAATTATTAGGAAGATTCTTGAATACTTCATTTACTCTATTGATTGTCCTAGGCACAAATAAAATAAATGTCTGCTAAAAAGTCTGCTTACTATGTAAGAGAATTTACCGTAGCAAAAGTTTACTTTTTTTTTCAAAATCAAGAAACTTACCTATTCAGAAAATTATAGTAATGGAGAAATTGACTCAACTCTCCGTATCTGACTTAAGAGAGAAATTTTTGGACTTTCCATTTTATTGATCTTGTGTCTTAGATAAAGGCATTAGAAACATTTTTTTCCTTATAAAGCTGTTTTTAACATCAAAATGAATTTGAAGAATGTAAAGGTTCTTTATCTATATGATTATTACCCTTTGAATAGCTCTATTTCTTTTTTTCATCAATGGTAATTAATATGTACAATATATAATATTTAAAATTAACATATAATCACAATATATAAGGTAAAGAAGAAAATTATTCTCATTACATTTGTGAATTCTAGTAACATACAAACTGATTTGTAGAACCATATACTAATATAGAATAAGCAGGGTGTCAGTGGCTAAAATCTATAATCCTAGCTACCTAGAAGACTGAGACAGGAATATCAAAGTTTGGACCTAACCCAGGCAAACAAATATACAAGACTCTTACTCTGATAACTAACAAAACAGAGATCAACACAGGTCTTTTGTTATGGTTGTGTAAAATCCCCTGTGTTGAATTGCTGTTATTTAGGCAACCACTCTGACTGTATAGTATTTGGATTTCTTTCTAGACAGTTCAGACAGGCAGCCTGGATTCTCTAGGGCAGGCCAGATTTCACATGTTAAATTCTGTGTGCTCTGATTTTTGTTATGAAGGTATGACTTACATAATCATTGAGATTGCTGGACTGATAATTTTGTCATTCTTTCATTAGTCCCTTGCATAAATCTGTCCTGTGCCTAGCACTATTATGTATATGAAAAGAATAAGAAGCTTAATGCCTTTGAGCAGGGACTAGGAAGGAGAGAATTCATTTAATCATATGATGCCAACAGATAGATGAGATAGAGGCAATGTTTCTAAACATATGTATCTGTCATTTAACAGGTTTACATGACATGAATATTATAAAGAAAACAACTCTGGGAAATATTGCCTTCCCTTTGTAGATGAGGAAATCAAGGCAAAGTGGTTGAGGCCATGCGTTAAGTGGTAGAGTTGCTTGAATTCAGGGAGGCAGATTTCAGAGTTTGTGTTCTTAGCTATTGAGATATAATTTACAGGCTAAACAAATTCACCCACTTAAGTGTTTCTTTCTCTGTTCATTGATAGTGCATCCATTACCACAGTCAATTTTAGAGCACTTTCCCCACCTCACATAATTCTGTTGGGCTAGGGATGTAGCTTATAGGTCAAATGTTTACCTAATATGTGCAAGGCCCTATCTTCTCCCTTCCCCCAGCACTGCAAAAAAAAAAAAAAAAGAAAACAAAATTCTCTACCCTTTAGATGTAACCTCCTTAGGTCTCACCCACTCCTCCTTGGTATACCAGACAGCTACTAATCTGCTCTCTATCTCTGTAGATTTGCTTATTCTGAGTTTTCATAGAAATGGAATTGTATTGTGTGTGGTCTGTTACAACTGCCTTCTCTTTTCAAGGTTCATCTGTGTTGTGACACTTTTCAATCTTTTTGTTTCTTTTTACAGTGAGTAATGTTCCCATTTGTGGATGAAACACTTTTGGCTATCCATTCATCCATTGATTGACATTTGGGTTGTTTCTACCTTTTGGCTCTTATGAAGGAATAAATGTTATAAATATTTTTTATATATTGAGGAATGTGTATATGCCCATGCATATGTGTGTGTGCATGTTTCGGTATGGATATTACATTCAGGTATTTTCCAAGGAGTAGAACTGCTGGATCACATGAGAAACTCTATGATTAATAATTTGAGGAATGGCAGACTGTTTATCATAGTGGCTGAATCAGATTGGTTGAAAATTGTACATTTTTAATCCATTCTTTTACTTTAATCTATTGTGTTTTTGAATCTGTAATATGTTTCCTGTACACCATGTATAAATGCATCATACTTTTTTTGTTGTTGGTTTTGGGGCTTGAACTCAGGGTCTGGGTGCTCTCCCTGGGCATGTTTGTGGTCAAGAATAGTTCTCTACCATTTGAGCCACAGTGGCAGTTCTGTTTTTTGAGTGATTAATTGGAGATAAGAGTCTCATGGGGTCTTTTCAGCCCAGGCTGGCTTCATTATGATCCTCATATCTCAGCCTCTAGATTATACTTTTTAAATCCACTCTGACAATCTCTTGCTTTTGATTGGTTTATTTGTATTATTATTATTAGTATTTTGTTGGTCATGGGGCTTGAATTCTGGGCCTGGGCACTGTTGTTGAGCTCTTTAGCTCAAGGCTAGAGCTCTACCACTTGAGCCGCAGTGCCACTACTGGCTTTTGGTGCTGAGGAACCGAACCCAGGGCCTCATGAATGTGAGACAAGCACACTACCACTGAGCCACCTTCCCAGCCCACTGTTATTTTTGATGTAGTGGGATTTATTTCTGCCATTTTTTTGCATGTCTTATACCTTTTATTTCTGTTTCTCTCCCTCCCTTCCTCTCTCCTTCTTCTTTCCTATGTTCCTTTCTTCACAACCATCCCCCACCCCCTTTTCTTTCTGTTTTTGGTACAGGTCCTGGGACTTGAACCCAGTGTTTGGGTTCTATCCCTGAGCTTCTCCCCCCCCCCTCTCCCCCCAAGGCTAGCAATCTATTACTTGAGCTGCAGCTTTAATTTTGGCTTTTTGATGGTTAATTCGAGATAAGAGTCTCATAGACTTTCCTGCCCCAGCTGGCTTCAAACTCTGATACTAGATATCAGCCTCCTGAGTAGCTAGGATTACAGGCCTGAGTCACCAACACCTGACTATGCCTTATTTATTCCTTAAAATTTTCCTTCATTGCTTGATTTTTATGACTTAGAATTTTTTTTTGTTTTTGCTTTTGTTTGTCATAGTACAAAGGATTGAACTCAGGGACTTATGCCTATTTTTTTTTAGATAGGGGTCTTGTGATAATTTTGCTCAGGCTAGATTTGAATCATGAACCTCCAATCTTCACCTGCCAAGAAGCTGAGGATTACATGTGTATATCAACCTGCCAAGCTTGGAGTATTTTCTTGTAGTTTTTGAACTTACCAAAATCAGCTTCAGAATTATACTGTAAGTTGAATTCTATTAATGTTACTCCTATATAGTTTTGTTCTCTTTACCGTTTTTTCCTGGTGCTCTTTTTGCATGTATGTACATCTATTAATGTTACAAACTGAATGGAGTATTGTTATGATTTTACCATCTGTCATTATGTATTGTTATAATTGTGATCTTACCATCTGTCATTGTTTCCTTAGTCTATTACAATTTTATTTACACTCTTCTTTGTGTTGTTATTGATAGTTTATTATTCATATGTTTTCATATGTTACACAAAAATACACTATATCTTTATGCCATTTTATACACTTGTTTTTAAAAATCAGTTAAAACAGAAAAGGAGCAAAAAAATGTAGGCATTCATAGT